CTAAATTTACTGCAAAACTTGTAAATAGATTTTGTTGGAGAGCAGGGACGGCTTTTGAATCACAACAAGCAGATCATGGCCTACTGCACACAGCAGGCTGGGTCATGCTCTCCCTGCTTTCAGCATCAGTCTAGAAGCATTAAAGGGAGGGGAGGACTGATTAATCTCTCAGTCTAGCTAATCCATCCATCCATGGATAATTGAGAGTTGACTGCAAGGTTAAAGAAAGAAAATAACAGGTGGAGTACTTGAAGTGAACAAGTGGATACAAGTATCTGTCCAAAAGGTAAATTTCCCCATACATCACCATATCTTACCCATTTCTGTAGCTGCCTTTCACTTTCAAAGCCAAACCCATTCATTCTATCCAAAAACTACACAGGCTGAAGAGAAGGTACTCCCTTCTGTACTGGTTTTGTCATACTTTTCTGTGGCTATTATGATCTTTATGATTGCATCTGTACCCAATTAATGCCTTTCTACTTGTGCTGAGGAACATAGCCTGCTTTTCCTCCTCAAAATGTAAAACTATCTGCTACGTTCTTCATTCACACAAAGCTGTGAGTTATGATGATAGACAGACAGTTGCACACAACTACAGGAGGTGTTCCATGTTTTTGGAGAATTAAGGGGTGGGTGAGCAAAGCAAGCAGCAGCAGCAATGACATTCTGGCACGTCAGGAGCCTGTCCTGTGCTCACCACTGCACTGTGTAGGTGCTGTCAGACTGCCATTACGTGGTATCTCAGTACCACGTACATTTGCTGTCCCATGGGCAAGAAGACTCAGCTTACTCAGCAAACTTCTACTTGCTTTAAAATCTTTTTAAAAGTTAAAGAAGCCACTGAGAATATGAAAAAGTATATAGTCCAAATACCTCCATGCAGCTACTGGGTTAGTTTGTCAGCTCCCCCAGTTTCTCTTATTTTCTCATCACTCAAGCTGTATCCTTGACATACTGTGATTTCAGGGATACTTTGTCACCTGGCCAGATAGCAGTGTTACACGGCTTACAAAAATGTTTCCAGAAGAGTATCCACTGACCCATACCAGGAACCCACCCAGCATGGTGCAGCGCTACAGGCTACACCAGATGAAGCCCCAAAACAGCTTTCTCCTAGCTTTTTGAGACACTCTGCACAAGTTAGTGAAGTAATGTCTGAGCCATGCTCGGTGTTTGAACCCTACTCAATTTCTGGATTACCTCATGCTAAGCCAAACAAGAGGCTTCTGCACACAGTGGGCTAATCCTGTAAACTCATCCTTGGTTTAATAAACCTAGTGCCAACTGTTTAGTGAAACTTGGATCCTGCTGTTTATTTATTTATTTTCCTGTTGGACGCAGTCATCAAAGATTTCTTATCAGTTTGGATAAAACCAGAAGCTTGTCTGGGACTGATGAGTTTCCTCACATACCTGGGAGTGCTACCCTGTGCCCACCACACATCAGTCCAGAGGAAATGGTCTCTTCTGGCACCCCACTTCTTGCAGCTTACACTTGCTGTTGTTTTCTGGAGTACCCAGGTAGGATAACAGATAAGGATGACTATATAAGTATAAAATGTGACTAACATGGTATTGGACAGATCTGCACAAGAGAAGAGACTGGTCATTCTATGCCTACTATTTCTTACTCTCACAGAGAACCATGTGCAGCCCTATATCAAAGCCAGACATTTCCCCTTCCTTCTGCTCAAAATATTTTCCCTTTTTATTTTGAGATGGAGAGAAAGCTATTACAGTACTAACCACACAGTGGTGCTACATAGCATTTTGGATCGTTTGTTCAGCAGAATATAATGAAATCTATTCCAATTTGAAAATATGTAAATAGCACAAGAGTAGTAGTAATAAGGCTTATATTGGATCATAGCACAAAAATAAATTAGCAACCAAAATGAATTACTTAAGATGTGTACCTTTTATAGCACTGGCTGGTTGTGCCTGTTTAATGTCTGAGATACAGTAAACAAGCTTTTGCAACCCACAGTTCACTTAGAGTGTTGAAAAGAACAGTTTGTCTTTTGCAATTTTTGTCAGAAAATATTCCTTCTACAAAATCTAAACATAGTCCAAGGAGGATTCAGTTTTCTCAATTTTGATACAGAAACATCTCCATGTTTTCTTGCATAGCAACAGAATAAAAAAACATCTATACAGTGACTGACAGTTTCTGGCTGCAAGAAAATTTTCAGGAGAAATAAAAGCAAACTTTATAAAGGACAAAGATGCACTTAAAATGGCTCAATGCTAAATTACTGTACTACGTACAATGTCAGAGTATGTGTGATACAGAAAGAAGCACAAATTTGCTTTTAAAGTATGTGGCACTTTTTATTAATGGCTTTGACTGAATATTACATACAATTTATAATTCATAGTGTTGATTCTATTCATTCACTGAGTGATTTAAAGAAGTACTTAAGTACATACCTAATGTGAATATTTACATAATCCCACAAAGTCAAATCAGTGTTTTGAACACCTTGTAATGTGAAATCATTTCTGTGCAGGCAGATGAATAACTCCGTTGCAGGCTTGTACAGTATAGGTCACATGCACTTTAATAGGTTTCTACAGACTTGTGAATGTCCAGCACTTCTGAAAATCTGAGAACTGCAACCCATAAAAATACATCTGTGCTATTATTACAAGTGTAGAGAATTATAAACTGAGTTAACAGTAGCTTTAAGAATCTGCACTGGTTTTGATTAGTTTGCAATCTAGCATGGAACTCAGGTGGATGGATTTTGGATAATTCCAAAATTTCTTAAAACACTTAACCATTTAAAGATTAGTGAATGGGACTTTTTCCTTGAAAAAGAAAAAAAAAAAAAAAAAAAAAAAAAAGGCAATATGCAGGGGCTGTATAAAGGCATTCTTTGCTGGAGGATCCATGTTTATCTGGGTTTATCTTCTTTCCATGCTCCTGCATAGAACAAAGCTGGAGTTCCCTGACCTGCACAGCCTGTCACTGGTCTCCAGGCTCATTGTGATGAAGAAGATTAAGGAGGGATTAGGATTTGATTTTTTTTTTTTTAATTTTTCCTCCTATTCAATGACAAAGTTCTAGCATTTACATATGACAACATCAACTGACATTAATTACAGGATCCTTCTGCTATTGCAGAAGCACCCTAAGGTTTCCAAAATGTTGTATATTATTACTGAAGAGACTGAAAAAATTTAGCAAAATACAAGTAAAGTATCTGCATATAGCATTTGTCGTGTCATTTATCCCTTTCCCCTACTCAAATTCTAGGTCAATTAGATTTATAGTTCCCCATTAAGCAGCCTCAAAAGTGACCAAGCATTTTGCCTGTGCTGGCCCTTAGATAACTGTATGAGGGTAATTCATATGTGGATGCTCTTCACTGGTAACACATATTATATGCATGCTGTTTGAGTATGCATTGCTAATTTGAATATTTTTGCCTATACAGTCTGATATGTATATACATTAATCATAAGTATTGAAAACCTCCATTGCAGTGGATAAAAACAAGGAGCACAGCTGAGGCTTAGGACCAACCCAGGCAGAATTAAATCCTATCAAAAATCTACACTCGATGCTCAAATATTTATTTCTCAATGGCTCCCACTAATTGCCATTTCCGCCTGGCAGTGCATCCTGGGGGGCACGCAGCTGCTAAGCCTTACTGCTCCAAATGGAGCTATTTTTGAGTCATCTTCACAGAGGGGAAAAGGTTATTAGAATTATTTTTAAAAACAAAAGAGAGTTTGCAATTTCAAAAAAGAAGAAGAAGAAGCAGTACATTTAAGCTTTTGGTCAAAATGGAAAGGTGGGAAGGAATGGGATGAAGAGCATGTCTTACTGGTGAATAACTTCACATGGGTATCCCAGTTTCCATCTTGCGTTACTAAAAATAGCCAAACAGTAGGTGATATGACATCATCTGCTCCTTTAATGCACCCATGGATAATTTACTGTTTCCCAGGTCAAGAGGCTGGGGCCAGGATTTCCACCACTAGAAAGAATATAAGGCAAATATGGCTCCATGCCCAGAGCTGGGGGAAATTTCAGCACCTAAATTCTAACTGTCATTGCAACTAAAGCTTCTTATTTTCTAAACCTTATCTTAATATGCACATCCAGAGTCCTTACTCCCTTGTAAGTATTGTTTCCCAGATGTGCTTATTTTACAAAAATCACACCCACAAACATGAGCCATCTATAATGCATAGCCTGGCCTCTCAAAGTGAGCTGTTGGTTCAGTCTTGTTGATCATTGGTGTAGATGTGCATGCATGGGCTCAGAAGCTAGCCGTTGGTTAAAATGGGACTGCCCCTACTTTGGACCTCTCTTGCTGAGTACTTTAATCACCCCCTTCCGAATAATGTCTATTCTTTCCATCTTTAAAGTCAATCAACTCAGTAATCTTGATTTTTTTTTTAATTATTGTTATTTTTTTTCAGTACACTAAACCAGCTGAGATGCAGTGTGCATCTGAAAAGCATCCATATCGGACACTGGAAGTAGGATGTGAGTTTGCAATCATTTGGGACTCACCCACCCCAAGGAAGATCTCTGTTCACTCAAATACTGAACAGCAATTTTATTATAAAATAATGACAACATTAAAACATTCAAAATAAAATGCTTAAAAATTAAAATGAAATATATGATCCCAAACATAAAATATTGTTCTTTGATAGCATGCACTGAGCTGGACAATTTCTCTCATGGTTTTAGGAGGAAAATTTCCCATAAAAGACAAATTATACTTTCTAGACAGAGATAAGAATTACTCTTCCACCATTAATACAGATATTATTTGTGAACAGTCATACTTGACTGCATATGAAATGAAGCACTAAATTCCAATTTCTTTTAAGAAAGACTAAGATCATAAACAAGGATTCCAACAAAGTTAAAAATTACTGTGTGTTACTCACTATGTACAATTGCACAATATTTAATTATCTTACCCAGTTTCTCACTTAAGCCATAGGTACATGTACCCCGTCTGTGCCACATACCTTTTTCAGTTTGATGACTCCTTCCTGGGTGTTCTCATCTGTTGTGATGTCAAACAAGTTTCCTCCATCTCCTGGAACTATGTTGTACTCAATCTCTGCATTTTTCCCAAAATCAGGATCCACAGCTCTGATCCTTCCAATAGCAGAACCAACGTGAGAGGATTCGGGCACTTTCAAATGGAAGATACCTGTGAGAAAGAGATAAATGTAATTCTTGAGATTTTTTTGATAAGTAATGTAGCATGTCTGATTAAAAACATGGAGCCTGTGCAAAATGAACAGACTTAAATAATCCAATTAAATGATGAGATCAAAACAACAACAGATTAGAAGATATGCATACTTTACCCACCTAACGTGTTAATTTCTTCTACATGCTAGATCCTGATCAATACAGCTGTAAGGGTCTTAGCAATTCTCTCTCTTGATATCTGTCTGTCTTTCTATATATTACGCATATGGTTGACTAAATCGACTAGTTTAATTTAAATTCTACCTATAGATAGCAAGTTTATATGCATTTTCTTTCTTCTATGTTTAACACAATTTTAAGTATCTGAATTTTTATTTTGTTTGAGAAAACATGTCTATGCATCTCACAGTAGTTGAAAGGAAAAAAAAAAAAGTAAAAAGAGTTTCCACCCATTACTGTAATACTCAGTATTGTAATTACACGTGCAATTCCTTGTGAGGGGGGAGATATAAAGAGCATTGTTTAGGCATCAGCCACCAGAGGGTGCTCGTACTGAAATTTCATAGGCAAACAAATTTCCAGCTCTGCACACTTTTATTTTCAGTTTATTTACTAATAGTAGTGATAAAACTTATAAACAGTCTGAAAAGCACACACTTTATTAAGAAGCATCACCACTAATGTGTGAGGCAAAGTGGTTTCATTCGGGAAAACTGCAACGTTGCAAAAGTGCTGGACATACTAATTGAAACAGCTAGACGAAAAGGCCTCGAGTACTTTGAGCCAGCCTTGAGTTCAGTGCCATCCCCAGCCGGCCTGAGTGTATTACATCCTGCCCTTCCTTGCCCCGCCAGCTGCATGTTTCCTTGTCCTGGGCTTCCTCCAGCTCTGTCTTGTCAGCAAAGCATCAGCAAAGGCCTTCTCTGCTCCCTACCATGAGTAGTCAGGAGGACATTTGCTCCTCTTTTTCAGTAGCCCAGCACCTGTGACTAGTGGGGGCATGCCAGGGGGACGTCTCGGAGATTTCCCCTGGTAGCAATTCAGTCCTAGGTTCCAGGACACAGCTCTGAGAAGAGGTGTATCTCCTAACTGAGGGTCAGATGACAGTCACGTCCCGCTGCTGAATTAAACAGCAGACACTGCTCCCTGTTGTTTCCTCTTTACAATGCAAGCTGCATCTGCGTTTTCAGCTTCCCAGTACTTCCGTGATGGAAAAAAATGACATCTGCTGGATTATGAGCAAACCGGTAACACAGTCCAAACTACCAGCTCACAAAAAACGGTTTGCTCAAACCTGTTTCATTACCCTGAAAAAAATGAACTTTATTTGCTTCCTTTCCATGCCCATCAGTGTGCAAAGCATATCTGAAGGCAAAACTTGCTGTATTTGTGTGAGAAGATCCCTGTTAGTAAAGTCTGCTTGTGTCAGATCCTCATTTTGACATTATCATGTATGACTTTTTAGCATTTATTGATTGAGTGACTAAAGATTGTGTAATTATCATTTGCCATTTTATTCCAAGATAGTATAATACAGAATCACAGAATTTCTAGGTTGGAAGAGACCTCAAGATCATCGAGTCCAACCTCTAACCTAACACTAACAGTCCCCACTAAACCATATCCCTAAGCTCTACATCTAAACGTCTTTTGAAGACTTCCAGGGATGGTGACTCCACCACCTCCCTGGGCAGCCTGTTCCAATGCCTCACAACCCTTTCAGTAAAGAAGCTCTTCCTAACATCTAACCTAAAACTCCCCTGGCGCAAACATGACCTTTTGCATCTTCTTCTTGTTTTAACCACTGGAAAGGAGCACCACAATGTACAATATTATCAAGACTGAGTTTGCTCAGCTATTTCTTAGTAGTGCTTCAATGACTGAGGAAATAATATAATTTTAACAAGGTATGCAGGACACAATCACAAATACTTCTGATATATAACGTCATTTGCAAATATGCTTATTACTGGATCTCTGCTATGTAGGTTTTTCCGAAGAGATGGAAGAAAAGGTATCCATGAAGGCTTTGCCTACACTTGAATCTCTTTACATTTCCAAAACAGTTCCAGCCCTGGTGCCCATGTCTTCTACAGACACTTACGTAGGATCACAGAAATCATTGCTGCAGTGTTTATTCTTTACAGCTACAATTTTGGTGAACATAAAACGTAAGAGCATAAGATTTTTTTCTTCTTTGCCCAGCTGATATATTCCTAGTGATCTGAAGAGCACTCAGGCTCATTAAAACAAACATTTCTCTATAAACTATTGCACCTGGCTGTACAGTGTATGGGACTTAGATGAAGTCAAAGAAACACTACATTACTTATTTCAGGTTGTTTAGGCCTGTATCAGTTATTTTCAGTGGCTTGGTATTTCATCACTTCCAGAAATTCAACAGCAATAAAGACAGGGTCATTCAGATCAATTTGAAACTCTGAAGTAATCTTCAACTCTGCCAGAATCAGATCTCTGAAGATGTAGTATGTAATTACAGTGCCAGCCTCCTCCTGTAATAGCACCTTCACAGCATACGGGAACTGCTATGGTGCTACTTTAAGAACATACTTTTGGAATAAAATAAATGAGAACAAACAATGCATATTGTTGCCAGATCAGGGAAAAACTTCAATGGGATATAATGTATAGCATGAAAACCTTTTTTTTCTTTTTTTCTTTTTTTTTAATTCAGAAAATAGTCTTTGTAAAGAAAAGAGGCTGTTGGAAGTGTTCAATACATGCTGATTATGAAACGTACCAGAGAGACAGTTTTGTAGATATTTATTTTTCTGTCTTCAGAAGATGGTACTTATTGCTGTGCTAGTTTAGCATTATTTAATTTTTAATGCCCATTTTGCCTATATAGACTACTAGGTCATTTTGCTTTTGAGGTGCATTGAAACAAACCTGAGTAACAGTCTTTTGTTCCCAAAGGTCCTGAAAAACTTGTTATCTTCTAGGAATGATGGGACAAGAAGCGTGGACAAATGTGTGCAGCAACTGATTACACTGCTCAAACATTTCTGTCAAATTTTGCAGATTCTTCCATGTGATTTCTCTACTTACAAGATCTTTTCTTCTAGTTCCATAAATCTCTTTTTTATGTGTTTGTTAAGTCTGGTGCTGGCTTTTTAAAGGATGATTTATATGGGATGTACCAAAGGAACAAGCCCTTACTTCGCTCAGACTGCACTAAGAAACTGGACTCTGCAAGTAGTTACACTTTCACAATTTCATCAAATTTCATTGCATGTGTGTCTGAATATTTTTACATATAGGCAAAAAACTGGCAATGCGTATTACTGGGTCAAGATTTTTCACTTTGTTATCAAAGGAATCTTAAGAAAAAATAACAAATTTTAAATACTATTTTTAGGGCCAAAGCTCACATGCCGGTTGACATGCTTAACTTAATAAGAAACATTTAAATTTCACCAATACACTACCAAGAATCCAAAACTAGAGAAACAGTGATTAAATAGCTTAAGACCAGCATTTAGGCATTCCCTTACAAATCCCATGTAGTGCCCTACGTGACTCAAGCTGTGAGACTTGCATGGAGTTTCAGGTTGAGCAATATCAATGAGGATGATAAAAATAAATGAGTGATGATGCTGTTGAAGCTTTTAGGCTGAAATGACTGATTGGGATTATTACTGAGCCCCAAAAGCATTCAGGAAGCTGAAGTGGAGGTGAACTAACAACTAATATACACCACTGCACAGTTTCTAAAATGCAGACAGTTCCAAAGAGCTTAGTGGGAAGAAATCAAAGGTAAGTGACAGGTAATCAGTCATACTGACTGAAATTCAGCACACATTTACAGTTCTTTTGACATGACTAGATTAGTTCTAGTTCTTAAGGCTCAAAAGCTGTTCTAGGGCTTGATTTTCACTTACAAAGGTGTTTTTTTTTGTTTCTCCACACCTGCAGTTTATGGGTATACCATCACTTAGCAGAAAGGTTTTCAATTCCGATGAGAATAAGAAATAAAAACCATCATTACATCTCATCAGTAGAACAACCATTAGGAAGTAACCCAGGTTAGTATCTAAGGATGTCAGCTAAATGCATAATGGACTTCAAGCAAACAGCTGTAAATCTTATCTGAGCTTTTTTCTAATCTGTCACTATATACATACTGAGTGCACATAAGATTATTCTCCCATTTCTTTGTCTGTATTTTTTTAGTTCTTCTTTAAAATACTGCATTGCAATTAATCATGATAACACTTTATAGTTATAGCCTACAGCACTGAAATCCAATCATTTCTTTCTCTTTGATCAAAACCCTTAACGTTTTCTCAGGAAAAAGAAAATCAATAATGTATATTATAACATTAAAAACTTTGCTAAGCTTAAGATCAAAATTAAGCCAAATAGGAAGAAAATGTTTCCTTTAGCAAGAAAACTCACATGAATACTAGAGCAATTGTTAGCTTAAATTACCAAGGCATTTCAGTTTTTATTCTGGGTAGGTCATAAAGGCACTGATTTCTGTCTGTTTTAGGAATAATCCAAAACCAGTAGTTCATGTTTACCTGCTGGTGTTTCAGCAGTAGGGTAATAGCCAAAACAAAGGATACTCTACATGCAGACCGTATACAGGCATACTCAGTATACTTAACCTGTTACACCAGCTGCTGCTAATGTTGTGGCATCCGATGTGCATGCTCCTAACACAGGGAAGATGTGATAGCACAACAGAGATGTACCAGTGCCTTTCCTCACATGCCCTGCAGAAGGCTGGGAAGAGAAAGGACACCTTGTGCTCTGGTGCATGTCATACATGACCTGGCACAGGCAGATAGAGTATTGGTTAGGGCAAGGCTTCTCCCATTGCTGAAAACAGTGCTCTGAACTAGGCTTATGACTTCATTAGATATAGCATAGCCAGTCTTAAAAATACCTCGTTCTCTGCTCATAACTAGCATGATCTACATCTCTCTAGACTGTACACTTTTAAAACCTGCTGAGGCCCTGGATGTTTAA